AAGGTCTTCAAAAAGTAGCGAGAAACAAATCACAAATACCAAAACCATTCTTTTGGGAGCTGCAGAGAAACTGCAGCCTTAAAGACTGCAACCACATGGGCTTTCCTTAAGTCTCGAAAGAATTAAAAAACCAATCAAAGAAATAAAAAAGAAGAAAAATAAAAGACGAAAACTCTCTGTAAAGGCCATAGCGGAGAGAAACATCAAAATGAAACAAGGATTTTAAAGAATCATTTTGGATATGAGTAAGAGAAAATGAGATAAAGATCAGGCCGTGAGATAAATTAACTCCAAGTTTCAATTTTTTTTTCCTCCCCAAAAATAAAAATCAAACCTTTTATCTCTCTGAAGGTTGAACAACCTCAGAAACCAACTAAAAATCCTACAGAAATCATAAAAAAGCTGAATCCATGATAGCCCATAAACTGGAAACAGAGTGAAGAAAAAAACCCAGAAACATTTTTTTTTAAACTAAAACCTTCCTTCAATATTCATAAAGAGACATTACATTATTTCAGTCATAAGAAAAAAATACCTGATGATGGGCACTTCACAAATTCTCACTTGGGCTTCTTCCTTCTCTCTCTCTCTCTCTCTCTCTCTCTCTGCCCCCTCACTGTAACAACAAACAAGTTGAGGTTGAAGAAGAAGAAGAGAAAGCCATAAATTTTAGTCCATTTTTATGTATTTTTGGAGAGGAGGTGAATTAATCCGGACCCCTCTCTCTCTCTTTGAGTGAGGATCGAAGGGAGAAGAAACAGGCTTATAAATCTCTTTCCTGGCTGAGTCAGATGCATCCAGATTGAGCCCCTAGTTTCCTGCTGTATTTTCAAATTTTTTTATTTTTTCTATTTTTCCTTTTTGTTACTCTGTCTAATCTTTTTACTGAATTTCTACAAAAAATGAAGTTTGACCATCAGCTTTCAGTACTTCTTTTGGGGAAAAATGGCCAGATTGGTATAAATTCTTGAGGCTTGGTGACAATTTGGTATATTTTTTTTAAGTTTTGTCAGATTGGTATAAATTTTCAACTCCGGCGCCATATTGGCCTTAAGTTTGGCCGGAGTTACTGTTCCGACTAGTGTTGATAAGATTTTTTGCATAAAACTCCATTATAAAAAACTTATCCTGCTCTTAACCCCCTCCCCCCTCCCTCCTCCTCCTCCTCCTCTTCCTCCTCCTCATCCTGCTCCCAAACATTCGCGACTACTCCAATTGGCGAACTGCTCGAATTGAAACCCAACTTCGGTGATGGGCAGATGTATAAAGGGTCGTCGAGAGATATCGATTTGGGCAACGGGTAAGCGGGTAGAGGTGACCCAAAGAAAGTCCCGACGAGGTCGATCTGTGCCTGAATCTGGGTCAAATCTCCAGCGGTCTCTATGAGGGTTTTGAGATCTAGGCTCGGGAAGCCCGAGAACGAGGCGAGGCCATCGGAGTCCGAGGTGTTAAAGGGGAACGGGGAGTTGTTGTTGAGGACAGCACCATTGGCGGAGACGATGAGCTCTTGGTGCTGGACTTGGATAAGGAGGGATCAAGCTTTGAGCTCGGCGAGGCCGTTGTTTTGGACGGTGGCCATGGCTTTGAAGTTGTTGGGCTGGGCTTTGGGGTCCTTGAGAAGAGGATGGATTTGCTTGCGATCGGTGATGGAGTAGGATAACTCGATGCCGTTGTAGACCGGGGGTGTTTCTGGGGGCTAGGATTGGGTTGAGATGAAGAAGAGAGCGAGGAAGAGGAGAGAGGAAGAGGATGAGGAGGAGGGGGAGGGGGTTAGGAGCAGGATAAGTTTTTTATAAGGGAGTTTTATGCAAAAAATCCCATCAACACTGGTCGGAACAGTAACTCCGGCCAAACTTAAGGCCAATATGGCGCCGGAGTTGAAAATTTATACCAATCTGACAAAACTTAAAAAAAATATACTAACTTGTCACCAAGCCTCAATAAATTATACTAATCTGGCCATTTTGCCCTTCTTTTGGTTATTAGCATATGAGGGCATCACCAACTCAGCCCCCATTTTGGTGCAAACAGTGCTTTTTGTTGCACTGGTCCTTCTCTAATTCAGCCCTATTTTCTGCTCCATTTTGGTGCAAATGAACAGTGCTGCACCAAATATGGCGTCGCACTGTTCATCTGTTCCATTACTGTTCAATTTTTTTAAATATTTGTTTTTACCTCTCAATTAATATAAAAATAGATAAAAGAGAATAAAGTGAGAATATACTGAGAATATTCTTTTTTGGTGTAAAAAATGGTGTAATGGGTTGGAGATGTATTACTGTTTGATGTGACTTTTGCACCATTTTGATGCAAAATTTGCACAATTTTGGTGCAATGGGTTGGAAATGGTCTGAACACTCCAAAGTTTCATGCCATTTCTACAGAATATTTTTTATCCGTTTTCATAAAATTACATTCTATTGTCTTGTTGTGATTAAAATATAGTACACGGTTAAAGTTAAAATATGGGCGGCACGTGTTTTTCAGTGAAAATCTATTGTGAGTATTATCCCATCAGCGGTTGGACTAATTTAAACAAAGAGATGTGATTATAACAATCCTTTATTATAACAGATTGTTATCTGCATAATTTTTTCACCAAATATCAATATTATCAATTAGCGAAGCAACATGGATTATTGTAATTTTTATTAAAGTCGTCAAGGTTAATGACAATATGTCACATCTTTTTATGTGTGACAATAATGGTCCGTTTTGTTGATGTTATTAGCCTTGGGTGTTGGGCAGAAAGTCTGCCAAAAATGCTCTTTTGGGAGGTTTTCTGCCTAACACCCGAGATTAAAAATATCAACCAAATGGGTCCTAATATGACTTTTTTGAAAAAATAACGAATGGTAATTAAATGTATATCATAAAACTCATCTAGGATTTTTTAGTAGGTTATTAATTATAGTTTTAAAAAAGTGTTGATGGTTGCCAAACAAAAGGGGGGAGATTCTTGCTATGTTTGCGTAATTAGCCTCTATTTAAAATTTTCATTAACTGATTCATTTAAGCACTGAATTCATGAACATACTTAATTAGCAGAATAATGTTAATGCGTGGCAGTTAGAAAATAGCCAGCCAATTGGATTGAGTACTACCTAGTTAAAAAAATTTACATAAATTGCAATAATTGCTTTCATTAAAATTTTCTTTTTATCTGTTTCTGTTCAAAAAAATGTATTTGCTCTTATCTAATATTTTCAGTCACGTGAATGGTTAAGAAGTTGCGTGAAGAAAGCGCAACGCGTGCCGTTGTCCTTCATACATGAAAACTTTGGGGAATGTAAAATAAATTGAGCAGTGAGTAAATATTGGGAAACCATAGAGTCGATTCCCCTGATTTTTTGAAAAAAACGTCACCCTTTGTCGTGCAAAGTAATGACGGTAAAGATTTTTTTTTTCTTGGGAAAAATGTTTCAAGGCCCCAAAACAAAAAACCGGATGTGACCCAGCCCCCCATATTATTTCCCTTATGTTTCAGCCCTTTCACATTCTCCCAGAAATTTTTTTCCCGAAATTACCCTTCCCCTCTTCTTCTTCTTCTTCTCCTCTGCCTCCTCTCCCCTCTCTTCTTCTTCTTCTTCTTCTTCTCCTCCTCCTCTTCTTCTTCTCCAGACCCTTGCCCACACCCCCCACCCGTCCTCCCTACCCCCTCCCCGGGCCCCCTCCCCGACCTCCCCCGCCTCCTCCGTCAATAAGCAGCGAACAGCAGCAGTTGGGGTGGGTGAGGATCTCCTTGGCGATGGCGGGGTCGATGGAGATGACGGCGGGGATGGAGCCCACGGAGAAGGCGAGGAGCTGGGTGGATTTGTGGGTGCGGGCGAGTCGGGCAAGGGTGCGGTGTGGTTGGCCACGGGTGAGGGAGATGAGAGAGCCTAGCACAGGGAGGCCTCTTGGTCCGCGGAGCTGGGTTTGTCCTATTTGGGTGCGGTTGTTCTCGGCCTCGACCTCAGCTGCTCCACCGGCGCCGCCTTCAGTCCCCACTTCCTGTTCCTATTCTTGTAAGCCAGCGCCAGGCACATGGACGTGAACAGCAGCAGCGGCCCCGTGGTCACCGGCCTTGACAGGTGGTGCAGGCACGTGCTGCTCACGCGCCTGGCCTAGTGGAGCACTGGTTTTACTTAGGGTTGTCCGTGCTTGTTGTTGTCTGGAGGGTTCATTTTGTTTTGAGTGTTTGTTTAATGGTGGATTGAGATGAGAGGGGGTCTGGTGATATGACGTTGATGATGATATTATTTGTTTCTTGTAAAAGTGAAAGGAGGGAAGGGATACATGGAGACATGTATGTGATAGGGTTTGATGTGGTTGCAAGGAATGCATCTAGTTCTTTCAGGTGTAATAGAGAAGTTTTTCGATATTGTAGGTAGTAGAATCACTGCTTGCTTCATTTTTTATCTTCTTAATTTGGATGAGGAACTAACTATTGTAGTGTAGAACCAGTTTCTTAATTTGGATGAGGACGTTGTTAAGCATTATAGCTTAGCTGGGCCAAGTTGCCGAGATGATACATTCATTGAAGGAAGAAGATGATAGATCTGTTGTGTCTGAAATTGATTCAAGAGATGCTTAAAATTGGGGAGTTTGTTTTTATAATATCCTGGAATTTATGTATATGTTCCGTTTGACTATTATCATTTGCTAGTGTATATGTGTTGGTCACATATGAGGAGGTGGAAAACATTATTTATTTGTTACACTGATGACATAGGTGATATTAGTCCAAATGGTGCTTTCAAGCTCAAATAATAAATGAGGATGTCTATTTCTTGTTGATTTCTTGTTTCATGGTCTCCTTGACATTAGAAATTAAATAGATTCTTGTCACATATTTTTGTTAATGGACTGTGGTAGAGACACTAATTGCATTATTTCAAATAATGATGGGTCATCTCCGTGTTGCCAGTCCAAATGGCACTTTCAAGTTGAAATTTGACAAAACCTAGCACTGATTTGCATGAAGTGTGTACTCATAACACGTTAAGTTTCAACTAACCATGTTAACGTTCATCATAACATGCTAACTTTCAGCTGAACATGTTAACTTTCATTAAAATTGGGGAGTTTGTTTTTATAATGTCCTGGAATTTATGTATATGTTCCGTTTGACTATTATCATTTGCTAGTGTATATGTGTTGGTCACATATGAGGAGGTGGAAAACATTGTTTATTTGTTACACTGATGACATAGGTGATATTAGTCCAAATGGTGCTTTCAAGCTCAAATTTAATCCTAGTATGTTGACTTTTAGCAGAACGTGTTAACTTTCATCCTAGTATGTTAACTTTTCATATTGAATGTTAACTTTTGCTGCTTTATGTTAACTTTCATCCAAACATGTTAACTTTCACTGCTTTATTTTCGTAGAAACGTTTTAAAAAAAGCTATGAATGTAATTGGTGATTGGTGTGGATTGCTTATTAGTACAATACTTTTGGTAGAGCAATGTAGGTTGTCAAGACTTGTGTAGCACATTGTATTATATTTTTATAATATCTAAGATTGTAAGTCTAATCATATCGTTTATTCAAGCAATATCAGCTGTAAGAATATGTACACAATAACCTCAAGATTATGTACATATTATGTATCATAATATTCAGGTTTTGACAAAAGAAATTATAAAACTTCTTACATTCTTATGGGTGATATTAGGAAGAATCATGGGGATTATATTAGGAAGAAGCATGGGGATTATTTTGGGATTTGTGTCGCTAGGTATCCAGAAATTATAAAACTTCTTACATTCTCACAGGTGATATTGCCGGGGAT